CAGGGTACCCCCAGCCAAGAGAGCCGTAGGCCCCCGTGGAGCACGAGCAAGGTGTGAGGAGAGCTGGGCACCCTCGCCTGGAGGAGCTCTTCTCCCCCGGCATCGCCGGAGAGAAGCCCTGGCCCTACAGCACGAGGCAGCAGGAGCCGCGCAGCTGGTGGCGTGGTGGGCCGAGGGCTGCGGAAGGAAGCGCACTCACAACGGGAGCACAACGACGCCGCCAAAGCTGTTGTGGGACACGTCCTTTTCCCGGCCAAAGATGACCAGCTCCTTCGTCTTGGGGTCCTGCAAGAGCCACGCAAACCAGCGAGGTGATGGCCAGCAAGGAGCTGCTGCTCTCTGCAGAGCTGGGGACGGCTGCCGCTGTGGCAAGGTGAGCAGAGAGAGCGCGCGCGCGCGCGCGGGGGCCGTCTCTGCCCGTGTGTGCGAGGTGGGAGCGCGCAGTGTGTGCGATGTGCCCCAGGAGAGGAGCGGGTCCTGCTGCAGGAGAAGTGGCCTGGCCGTAGCGCTACGAAAGGGGAAGCCTTACCCTGAGAAGAGACTTGATCAGAGCCCCGGTGTCATCAAAGGTCTCCAGGAAGTCGGCGTAGAAGCGCATGGTGGCGATGTTGCGCACAGAGAGCATGCCAATGCAGACGTCCAAGCTCGGCCCCTCAGCACATCTCTGGCCTTGGCTGGACACCAGCATCCTGGGTGGGATCAGTCTCTCTTCCCAGGTGTGGTGGTGGATGGGAAAATGGAGGATTCCTGCATTGCTCCTGGGATGTTGGAGGGGTATGGAGGGATTCTGGGGTACCTGTAGTCTCACCTTGATCTCTGGAAAGGTGATGGATCAGCTAATCCTGGATAACCATTTCCAGGCACATGAAGGATCAGGAGTAATCCGTATGAATTCACAGAGGGGAAATAATGGTTAAGCAGTGTGATAGCTTTTTGTGATGGAATGACTGGCTGAGTAGGTGAAGGGAGAGCATTTACTCTTGTCTACCTTGACTTCAGTAAGGCTTTTGGCACTGTCTCTTGTAACATGCTGGTAGGCAAGCTGAGGAAGTATGGACTAGATGAGCAGCCAGGTGTTCTTAGAGCTGGCTGAATGGCAGAGCTCAGAGGGTTATGATCATTGGTGCAAAGTCTAGCTGGAGGCTAGGAAATAGTGGTGTATGCCAGGGATCACTGCTAAGTCCAGTCTTGTTCAGCTTATTCATCAGTGACCTGGATGAAGGGACAGAGTGCACCCTCAACAAGTTTGCTGGTGATATAAAAGTGGGAGGAGTGGCTGATACACCAGAGGGCTGTGCTGCCTGTTGAGAGGGACCCCAACAGGCTGGAGAGATGGGCAGAGGGGAACCTCCTGAAGTTCCACCCAGAGAAGTGCAGAGTCATGCACTTGGGGAGGAATAAGCCCCATGGCACCAGGACAGGCTGGTGGGGGTGACGTGCTGGAAAGCAGCTCTGCGGAGAAGGACCCGGGTGTCCTGGTGGACAAGCAGACCATGAGCCAGTAATGTGCCCTTGTGGCCAAGAAGGCCAATGGTATCCTGAGTTGCATTAGGAAGAGTGTTGCTAGCAGGTCAAGGGAGGTGATCCTCCCCCTCTACTCAGGCCTGGTGGAGCCACATCTGGAGTACTGTGTATAAGGGAGATACAGAGCTACTGGAGCCAGCCGAATGAAGGGCCACTAAGATGATTAAGGAATTGTTCAGTCTGGAGAAGAGAAGAAGGAGGGGGGAATCATTTTACTGCGTTGAAATACCTGAAGGGAAGGTGTGAGGAGGATGGGGCTGGAGAAGAGCCAATATGGACAAGCTGAAACAGGAAGTTCCATCTGAAAATCAGGAAAAACTTTTATACTGGGAGGGAGACTGAGTGCTGGACAAGGTTGCCATGGGAGGCTGGGGAGTTTCCATATTCACAAGTTGTCTGGACATTGTCCTGGGCAATCTCCTCTAGGTGACCTTCCTTGAAAAGTGGGGTTGGACTAGAAAATCTGTTCAGCGTCCTTTCAAACCTCAATCGTACTGTGATGTTGTGATTGGGTAGATGAAGGCAGAGTGTCTTTTCTCTATTCTGCAAGCAGCACCCGCAATGACCTTCCTTCCCTGACCAGCAGCACCTGAGAAAGAGGGTCTGCTCCTCCCACCCCGTCCTAGGACCAGAACAGGCTTGGGAATCTAGCACCTGAGTCGCCCACCGCTGCCGTCCCCACGGGAGGTGCTGGGCACGCCGGAGGAGATGGGAAGCTGCGAGGTGGCATCATCAGGACCGGCCTGAGCACGGCCGGCACGATTCCTCTGATTCTCTGCTCACGCTCAGCCCCTTCCCGTCGAACTCTGCAGCCCTCAGGAGACACCTCGCCTCCTGGAAAAGAGGGACAGCTACCGCTGATCACCCGCCGCGCTCCTACGCTCTGCAGCTTCTTCACTCCCATTAAACCGTGTTTCCACATACTGTGACACTTTGTTGGAGGGGCTGTGGGGCGGGCAATTTGCAGCGTGGGTGCTTTGGAGGGGAATTAAAGGGCAGCTCAGGAGACGGGGACGGAGCACCCACTTTGTGCACACATCCAGACAGCTCTGCACGCCCAGGTGCCCACACTCGTGCGTGGTGGGGCTTCCCGTCCCCATGCTTTTGGAATCCCTCTTTAGGCAGCGGGACCCTTGCTGATGGCCCTTCATCCTGCTTGTGCGACAATCTGCCCGGCATGTTTCTCCAGCAGCCTCCTGCAGCCCCCGAGCGTCCCATCTCGGGAGCTCTCCCGGCAGAAGGGAGAGCACAAGATCAGCTGCTCTGGCTGAAACGCCCCCTCGTCCATTGTCCCTCTGCTCTTCCCATGCTGTCGGCACCCGGCGAGTGCGGAGGGGCAGCGAGAGGCCTCGGGGCAGCAGGGTCGGGCTGAAGGGGTCGGCGGCGTTCGGGGCCAGACAACACCACTACTCCTCCTCCACACTCCCAGAGGCACCCCCAGGGATCCTCCCTTCCCCTTCAAATAGCAAACTGGGAAGAGACTGATCTCACCAGGGATGCTGGTGTCCAGCCAAGGCGAGAGGTGTGCTGAGGGGCCGAGCTTGGATGCCTAGGTTCGTCCCAGAGCCAGTAGACACCAGCTGTCCTCCTCCCCATGGAGGTTGTGCAGAGCCACACACCCACATGCGCATATTTGTGCATGCTGTGACTTCCTGTTCCCACACTTTTGGAAACCCCCGGGTGGCCTTGTGACGTCCCTTGCCCTTCATTTTGAGGGCATCTACCCTGGATCTTTCTCCCAGAGGAAAATTCTAGCCCACCCCACTTGGCTCCATGCAAAATCTCAGCCCAAGACGTCCTCTGCGAGCCGGATAGGGCAGGCAGAGCTGGACGGGGAGCCACACTTCCATTCCCTCTCCTCCTCTGCAGGGTTTCATTTCAGGGGCTTTCCACCTTCCCTTTCCTCCTTTTCCTCCCTGTGCCTTGGCTTTGGCCCTTTGCTCTCCTCGGACTGGGCTGGAGACACTTGATGTGTCTGAAGCCCTCAGGCGTGCATTGCCAGTTTTACTTTTCCTTCAAACCCTTTGGCTTCTGCCACACGCAGGGAGGAGCAAAAATTTCAAGGAGTTGCTGGGGGTGTGTGAATGCACCTGAAATAGAGCTATTACTTGGGAATTTCGTGAGCCCAGGGTAAATTATTCTGCACCCAGAGCACATATGGCAGGAGGAAACACCGCCACTAGAGGGGAGTTCAGGCCTGCTTTAAACAAAATGGTAGAAATAGGGACCTAGACTGGTGTGGATAGCAGTGCGAAAATTAAATGCAATATGCAGTATGCTCACATGCTCTTTTTTTTTACCAAGCATGCAAGAAAACATGGAGTAAATTAAGTTTAAAATTTAAAAGTTACCTTAGCAATGAGGCATTTCTCTTTCATCAAAGTGTCACAGTCCCATGGGAGGCTTTATTTTATTAATGTGTTTGAAAGAAAATTATTGTACACCTCCTGTGGACTTCTGCAATTGTTTGGAAATAGAGATAGTTTGTCCCAAAGCTGTGTCTTGACTGTCTCTCACCTGCACAGGTGCTCCTGTAGGGAAGGAGTACTTGGCTTGACCCTGTAGTGGAGGGACTGGAGATCCAATTGGATTTTCTGGAGCAGGAAAAATAATCTCAAGCTGCAATATCCCTTGAACTCACTGGAGAGCAGAGCAAAGACAGAAGCTGTTGCATCTACGCTGAAAGTCCATGCAGGAAACCTAAAAGTCTTGCTTCTTACTGGGGTTTGTTTTTGGCTCAGACACTATAAAAACTCAGGGAAGTGGATAAGGACTGAGGAGGAAAGTAGAGGACATCAGGAGAGCTGGATTGTGGATGGAGGAGTGTGTGGCACTGTCTTGACATGCTTGCGAGTATTGCCGTGGCATCTTGGCTGTTGTGGCATCCTCACCTACCGAGTGTGAATCTTTTTCAGCTTTGATACTAGACAATCGCTTTTTTGTTTGTTTGCCCTCTTCTTCCCATTCAGAGTTTAGCCTTTTGTTCTTTCCCGGTGCAAGCTCAGGATTACTCATCCCTCTGTAAGCACAATCGCAGGGTGCTGAGACAGAAAGGACAGTTTAGGTCTGGAAGTGAGCCAGAAAGGACCTGAAAAGCCAAAAAAAGGGGCTATAGCTCTCATGAGAGTGAAAAGTGGTGAGCAGAGGCAGATTAGGGAGCCTCAAGTCTCTTCCTGGAGCAGATAAACATGTGCAAACACTCCTTTGGACCCACAGCTGTGCATTAGGTGTGCACCTGGCCTACAAAGCATCCATCAGAACCGGAATTGGTTGCTTTTAGCCCCAAAATATGGAGCTGAGCGTTCACCACCTGAAGTAACAGATATGCAATGGTGTCCGAGCTCTTATCCCACAGGAAGAAAGAGTTAGCCTGGTTTGAGTCGTGGGGGCACGTTTATCCCCCTCTCCTGGCCATGCGCTCCCTGACCTTGACTCCTGCACGGAGGCTGCTCACTTGGCAGCAGCGTCCCAGTGTGCAATTTACAGAGCTGGGAGGAGGACGCAGCTCTTTGCGACCAGCACAAATCGGAGCAGTCAGAGATCTCCTGTGCTGCACTAGTGTGGGAAACGGGACAGTGGGATGCAGACCCTCAAGGTACAGGGGATGCCAGAACGGCTGGGCAACGGCGGGGTGCAAGCTGGCAACACCTCTGTGCTGCGATTCCTGGGTCTGAACCACCCAGGGCTGTTTTGGGGTGGGATTTTAAGCACCTTGGGAGAGGAAAAAATGATCAAAGAGTGTGTCGCAAGTTCCTTTCAACAGTTTGGTTGGTCTTAGGCTTTTTTCCTGGTTTTACCCTAGTCGTCTTGATTGTCAGAAGAGCTAAAATCTCTCCCCCCAAAATGACTTTTTTCTAATATGGTTTCACATGCTTTTTCATTTTCATATCAGCTAATCCAAGGGTAGGGAAGCACCAAAAATAATTTAAATGCTTAAAAAATGAGCTTATTAATACCTCAGATAATAGAACTTCCTGTACTGCCATATTGCACTCATTTTCATTTCTCATCTTGGCCTTTCTCTCATTGTAGCCTCCCCCAGACCAGTTAAAAATTAGACATATGTGTAAATATGACCAGGAGTGTTTTCACCCTGGTGTTCAGAGGAAGATGCTGTGTCTGCGTACAGACGCGGCTGTACTGGAAAGGGGATTGCCATTAGGTTGAGAAATGGAGAAATGGAGTTCAGAGGGAGACCATCCCTAAAACTCTTTCTTTTTTTTCTTTTCTGGGAACTCTCCCAGAAATTTGCATGTGAACTAAACAGACAAGGATCTCTATGCTCTCTGTGCATAGAAGCTTGTGTTTCTGAGGAAATAGTTCATTTTTATATTCCGCTGTTCCTTCAGTGTAGTTCATGGACTGAACCTCCTCCCTTCTCAGTTATCATGTCTCCTAGACTGCCGTCCTGGCTAAAGCATCAGGTTTTGCAAAATAATTGAAAATTGGAGCAATGGGAGATACTCATACCTTGTGTGAATCTGCCAATGGGGAAAGGCTTCTTCCTTTTTCCAAGTCAGTATTTCCATCAGAGATAGAGCAAGGCTCAGACCTGGATAATATTCTTTGGTTTCACATACAGCTTTGGCTTGGTGCTGCCCTCCTCTTCCTCAGCCAGGGAGGAGTCTGGGCCAACAGAGCTGATGATGGCCCCCTAGCCCTGATGAAAATGATGGGAAGGAAGCCTTTCTCTCTCCCAGGTAAGTTTTAGTTTCATTCTTGCTCTCTGAAGAGTTTCTCTTCAGTGTATTAAAGACACAGCATAAGGTGATTTAAGGAAAGGAAGAAGTCTCCTCTTCCTACCTGTTTTTCTGATTTTAGCAGAAATGCCTGTCTTGGCATAATCCCCGCAAAAGAGAGAAGAGTTGTCAGAGGTCTCAATTTTTGTGTTGCAATCTGTGCTGGTGCAAAGTGAGCTCTGGATATTGGCCAGCAGCTCTCCAGACAAGGGTTTCTGTGCAGCTGCCCATCATGCAAAATGCTTCATGCTCAGCAAGGCTGTTGCAGCAGTTTTGCATCTGGAGGGAGGGCAAGGAAACCACGGTCGGGTCTTCTTATGCTTACAAAACTCCACCTTTCTTGTGCCCGCAGGCTTGAGCCAAACTGGCAGCCATGCCGCCCGGAGAAAACGTGAAAAGCAGCCTTCTACATATCTAAAGTGGGTGGATTTTGAAGGAAAACTGCCTGCCTATGCTGTGTCCAACTGGAATGATTACACCAAAAGGTTGGAGTATATCTGCTCGACGCCGCAGAGCGAGTGCAACACTGGAGTGTATGTCCCCAGCCGGGGTGAATTCTGCTTTTTCCCATACGGAGGACGTGAGCGGAAAGTCTCCACATTTAAGGTGCTGGTAAATGAAGGTAACTTTGAAGCACTGGAGTGGGTGGATGCTTCCTTCGGTGCCGTTCCTGAAAATGCCGTGGAGGGCTGCCCCAAGGTGGACGTCTTTGTTGGCAGGAACCAGTATGGCTTGGGGAAAATCCCGAAGATACACAGAGCTTTCTTCGTTGTCATTGACAGTGAGGAGGTGTGGTACAAGTGGTACCAGGTCCTGACTGTGAAGAAAGGCTCTGCAGACGTAACCATCTCTGACGTCCGCTACAACATGAGCAGAGCAGTAGAAAGTCAGGAAGACATAACTCTAACGACAGCCACTGTGAGGAATGATGGCTGCCAAAGGGTGAAGAAAACTGTCACCCTTGAGGGGGCAGCTGAGACGGAGCATGACTGGAAGGCTGACCAGGTGCTTTTAGCTGATGTGCGGGGCATATTGCGTGCTGGTGTCCTGGCATTCAATGGGACGGGGTGGGAGGTTTCCACCTGCATCAATGTCACTTGGATCGGGGGAGCCAGCACCAGCAGGGAAAACCT